ACTCCTTCAGGAGTTCATAAGATCATCATGAGAGGAGCAGCCAAACAAATTTAGTGTGTCCTTGAGGTGGGTGTGGAGAGGAAGGGGGGCAGAGCTGCCCAGCTGTTCCTGGGGGCTCAGGAGGATCTGCTGCTCGAGCACCTGGGCTGTGGGATGCAGGAAGGCACCAGCTGTGACCCCACAGGGAATAACATCTGGGACCAAGAGCAGGGGAATTTCAGGGATTTGTAGAATCCCAGACTGGTTTGGGTTGGAAAGGACCTTAAATCTCATCCCATCCCACCCCCTGCCATGGGCAGGGACACCTTCCACCAGCCCAGGGTGCTCCAACCTGTGCCCAGCCTGGCCTTGGACACTTCCACTCGTCAACTCCGAGGAAAATATGAATCCCATCGGGAAGAAAGCAGGAGAGGATCCACCCTGCTTCCCATGGAGCTTCTGGGGGTGCCTGAGAGGAAGGAGAGTGACTGGCACAGGACCTCTTTGGGGTGGAGAAAAGAGAAGATCCATGTCCTGGATTTATTAATGTCCTCACTGGAAACAGAGGAGGAGAGGGGAGGGACGAGGCCACCTATTAAACCAAAGAATTCCAAGGGTAAGGCCATAAATCCAGAGCTTTCCTGCATCATAACTGACTGGAAATGCCCAGCACAGGGAGGTCCCAGGAGTATTTATTGTGTTTATTTCCCTCTCCCACCCCGGTGGTCGTGGCTGCACCTCCCCCTTAATTTGGCTGCTGATTGTCTCCTGTCTAATTAGGAAGAGGGACAAGCACTAAACCTCTGCTCAGGGAGGGGTTTTAATGGGCTTTCCCCTCCCAAACCCATCTATTTATTTCCACAGACTCCCAGGTATTTAATTATCCCCGAGACGTCTCTTCTGCTGTCGAATTCAGCTGAAATTAGTAACAGGGTCAAAAATTATCACAGGGTGTGGGAACTGTGAGACTCTGACAGGCACTGACAGCCTGATCGTGTGGGACTTGTTTTCATGAGCAATAAAGCTCGAAAGAATCGAGGAGAAAATCACAGTTTCGTGGTTTTCGTCCCTTACCAGCACCAAAAATAAAAATATAAGGATAAAGAGAAAATAAAATTAAACAAAAATAAAAACATTAAAAAATTAACTCTCTGCAGTTTTCCCCAAAATAAGTAAAAAAAATATAAAAATAAATAAATAAATAAAAAGCTAAACTCTCAGCAGTTTTTCCCTAAGTAGGGGGTGATCCCCTGAAAAACAAAAGCTTGTTTTTCAACACTAAAGCAGCACCTGCTCTAAGAACACATCCTGCTGCCCTTTGAAATGGGCAGGGCGGGTGGCAAAGGGGGCCCTGAGCTCTTGTCCTCTTTGTTTCTGTTAAACTGCCCCCCAGGCCTCCCATCCCATCTCCCAGGATTGCCAAGGTTGGAAAAAAAGACAAAACCCTCCAAGATGATCAAGTGCAACCTTTGGGTGAGTGCCACCAAGCCCACCAAGCCATATCTCCTGGGGTACTTGCACTTATCATCATTCTTTTTGATTATAATAATAAATATTATTATATAATATATTATTAGGTAAATATATTTATATAATAAATATGTATATAATTATAATTTTATATGATTCCCATAATGATTTCTGTATCTATCCTATAATAGTATAAATTTAATAAATTTTCATGGCGATTATAATAATTATAATTAATAATTTGTTATTATTGTTGTTGTTGTTATTATTACTGATGGTAGCCTGATCACACTATCCCACAACTCCTCCCTCATCACAGCTGGGACTGTCACCATCCTCAAGTCATCATCTAGTCCAAGGTGGCCCCATGGTAGGTTTGGGGGAGGCACAGGATCCTGAACCCTGCAGTGGGGATTATATCACTTCAGTATATCCCTGTGTGCATTCGGGAAAGCCTTGGGAAAAGGCCTGGAATTCTCAGCAGTGAGAAGGAAGGAGTTTTGGGATAGCGTGGTCAGGCTGTTTAACGTGGCCTGATGGTAACCAGCACTAATTACAGGCTAAAGCAGAGCACAGGAGGGGTTGAGCTGCATCTCAGCTGATAATCCCAGACGGAGATTACTCCCAGATAATCCCCCTGGAGAAGTGTTGGGAGTCCCATTGTTCCAGGAATTTAAACCCAGCCTGGCTCGGGAATATCGAGGAGTCCACGCTGCTCCGGGAGACAGAGCTGAAGTTCTCTGTGTGTCCCACTCCTCTGAGATTTATGAACCTGGAGCTCTGAGTCTGTGCTGGTCATCATCCTGGTTTTGCTCCCTGTCCATGATTCCCAGCCTGGTGGGGTGGAGGGGCTGAGACAAAGGCTGAGCTGGGCGAGGGGAGCCGAGCTCGGGTACAAAAGGTATTCAAGCAGATCCTTCAGCCTGTGAAGGGCAGCCAGTGATAACTGTTCAGGAGTGATAATTCTGCAGATATCTCTGCAAACAGAGGCTGAAACTGCTCAGCACAGCCTCGGTGAGGGGTCCTTTCAGGAGAAGTGTTGGGACACACCAGGGAGCAGGTGCTGAAAGGGGCCCAGGGGTGAGAGAAGAGCCCAGGGGGAGATGGGCTGAGCCAGCCAAAGGATTGGAAAAGCAGCTGAAGTCAAGAGGATTCATTTTAACCTTTCTGTGGCCTTTCATCACCAGGAGAGAGGGTCCATCAAGGTACTCAGGTGGAAGGTAAATGGGGCGACCTGGGAGGGAATCGTGGCTTGATTTCACGGTTCCTTTGTCTCCTCATCACTCTGGTTCCCTCCCTCCCCACACACAGGGGAGAAGAGGAAACACCACAGGCCACGTTCTCTGGGGCACAAACCACTTCTAATTGCAGATGAAGGCACAACCTCAACCACAGATTTCACAGAACCTCTGAATAACTGAGGTTGGAAAAGACCTCCAAAATCGTCAAGTCCAGCCCAGCCCCACTAAACCACATCCTCCAGTGCCACATCCACACGTTCTTTCAACACTTCCAGGCATGGTGACTCCACCACAGCCCTGGGACACCTGTGCCAATGCTTTATAACCCTTTTCATGAAGGAATTTTCCCTCATATCAAACCTAAACCTCCCCTGGTGCGACCTGAGGTCATTCCCTTAAGTGATGGTGGGGGCCTGGACAAGAGATCTGCTTAGGCAGCAAAATAATTCCAGAACCAGGGCTTTAGAACTCTTTTAATATATCTGTATCCATATCTATTTATCTATATCTGTCTATATAAATATATATCTAATAGAAACATTGTGCAAATATATATGTATACAACACCTCTGATACCCCGAAACACCACCTTGCTCTGCAGTCTGACTGAAGAGGAACATTTTAAACCCAGAACATCCACAGCCACTGGCAAATTAGCCAAATTATCTCCCAGGGCTGTGGCAGGAGCAGTGCTGAGGAGCTCCACGCTCCACATGCACCAGGAGACGAGGAGCCAACTCCACAGCCCTCTGGAGAAGGATAAAGACGCTGTGGCTGCCCCGGGGGGTGTCTGCTCCCAGAAATCCTGCTGGAACCAACCCACCGTGGGTGAACACATCCCAGAAAAGATGCAGATTTCCATGGGAAGGGTCTGCAGAGCAGGAGATGGCCCCTCCTGGCCCCCCTCCCCTGCCTGTCATGTCCCCCGGACAGAATCAACAGGGAAAAATCTCGGCACATTAAGTACGAAAATAGAACTATGAAAGAAAAAGCTTTTTAACCAAATCCGGCCTTTATCTGTCCCTGCTGTTCACCTCCTCCTTTCAAAGATAAACTCCAAGGATAATGGCTCCCAAAAATAATCAATTTGCCTCAATAACCGGAGGTCTGCGTCGTTGCTGAACGATCACTCTGGACGGTGCTTAAGGTTTACAAATATCTTAATTGGAGCACTAATTATCTCACAAAAAGCACTTTTTCATTATGCAACGAGGCAGTGACTGTGATTTCAATAAACATTCAGAGCTCAAATGAAGGTCTCTTTTATGTAGCATCAAAGCAGGAACAAGATGACCAGAGGACAAACAGATCAAGGCCGAAGGTCCCCCCACGTCAGCCCGCATGTTTAATTAATTCATTAGTTAATAGAGAGCTGATGAGATGAACAGGGAAAGCCCAGTCACACTGCAGGGAGCATGCACAGCCTCAGATGTACTAGTTCCTCATGGATTCCTCTGCCTGGCTCGAGCAGCACTTATGGAAAGACAAATATACCCCTGGAAGAGCTCAAGGAGAGGTTGGAGCAAGCTGGGCTCATGGAAGGTGTCCCTGCCCAGGACAATGAAATGGTCATTAGGGTCTTCTAATCCAAATCACTCTAGGAACAGGAGACCTGGAGCCTGCCCTGTGTTTCATTCCCAAAATCCATGTCTGGGATGGGCCTGTCCCCGGGTGGAACGTGCTCGGCACATCCTCAGCTTTACCCAGACAGCAGCAATTTGTGGGACACCCAGCTGTGCCCACCCAGGGCAGGAGGGAGGTGGCAGGAAGGGGTCCCTCAGGAAAAGCAGGATCTCCACCTCCTCCAGCCAGCCCTTCCCGTGGCAGCTCAGAGCGGTGCAGCCAAAAAAATAAAGTAAAAACACCCCCTAAACTCACAACTCCCTCCCCTGCACTGAAGTGTCTGCAGGGGAAAGGGGGAAGGAGAAAAGCCAGGAGGGACAGATGTTCCCTCTCCCACTGGGCTGATGCTGCTTCTCAGGGCTAAAGGCAGTGTGAGAACCTGTCCTGAACAGAGCAGAGCACACAGACCCTAAAACTTTATTCTTCCTGCTTCAAATGTAAGATTTAAAGCAGAGAAAAAAAACTCCCTTAGATAGACTGACATATTTTCCTGATCCATTCTCTTCTATTTTTTTGCATACCATGAACCCCCTTATTGAGGGGGTGGGGTTTTTTTGTTGCTTTTTTTATCATCTTGCTGCTTTTTTTAACAGCTTGTACCTTCGGGTTCCCCCTGACCTGGTCCCACAGAGCCATCCTGGCTCTCAGCAACGTTTGCCCAGGGTTGGCTTTATGGATGACGAGGCTTTTACAGGGCAAATATTCCACATTTGAGTCTTCATTTTCACTATTCAGTGACCTACTTTGTCGAGATATGGGGGGGGGGGGGAGCTGGGAGGGGATTACTTCAGGTCCATTTATATAAGATACTCAGGACATAAATCTCTCTCTGCCTTTCCTGCTGAAAGTACAAAATATCAATGAAAAAAAAAAAAAAAACAAACCAACTCCTGCCAGACGAGTAGCAACGCCAAGTGTGTCAACAGGCACTGCCACACATCCCTTTCCAACCTTCTGGGGAGACCTAAAGGTGCCACCAGCCCCTCCTGCCTGGCTTGGAGACTCCAGGAGGAGCCTCAGACCTGACAGGAAAGGAGAAATCCCTTCCCCAAAAACAGCAGACAGGAACAGGGAGGGAGATGAATAAACCCCTGCAAGGCCTGGCATTTGGGAAATGTGTTTGTGCCTGGGCCTTATGCTGCTAATTACCAGCAGTAATGAGCGCTGATGAATCAGTAATGACCTTCAAAGCACTGCAAGTGTTTCAGCTTCCCCTTCTGCGGGTGATGAAGTCGCAGCCCCAGCAGAGCTGAACAGGCTAAAAGAGGCTGAGCCCAAACTCCAGGGTTTCTTCCCCCCCACTTTCCTGGGTGTTTTCCTGCAGGACAGGGAATTTCAGAGCTGACAGAATTCACTGCTGACTGCAGGAATAGGGATGGGCTCACAGCAATGGCCAGTTATGAAATGGCCAACAGAATGGATGTTTCCAACGGATCCCATCGATTTTCCAAATGATTCCCAGGAAAGCAGAGATAGTGCAGTGGTTACTGTGTGCCAGGTGGGCAATTCATGGCGTTCCCAACTTGGTTCTTCCCCTATAATAATCTTCCCAGTATTTTAACTGATACTAAGACCATAGAAATCCCAGGATGGTTTGGGAAGGAAAGGACCTCAAAGGTCATCTGATTCCACCCCCTGCCACGGGCAGGGACACCTTCCACCAGCCCAGGGTGCTCCAACCTGGCCTTGGACACTTCCAGGGATCCAGGGGCAGCCACAGCTTCTCTGCCCAACCTGTGCCAGGGCCTGCCCACCCTCCCAGCCAGCAATTCCTTCCCAATATCCCATCTAAATCTCCCCTTTTCCAGTGGGAAGCCATTCCCTGTGTCCTGTCCCTCCATGCCTTGTCCCCAGTCCCTCTCCAGCTCTCCTGGAGCCCCTTTAGGCCCTGCAAGGGGCTCTCAGGTCTCCCTGGACCCTTCTCTCCTCCAGGTTGCTCCAAGCCCCGTCCAGCCTGGTGTGCCTGGGAACCCTCGTGGTAGGAAGTGCTTATTTCCAGGAGGGATAGGAAAGCCATCCCGAGGCTCCATCCCGCCAGCAGCGCCCTCCAGGCCCCCCTGTGAGGCCCCTGCTCGCTCACCCGTGCTGCTGGAGATGTTGACGTCGATGCTGATGTCCGAGATGCCGCCCCCCTTGAGCGCCGCCACGCACGTGTAGGTGCCGAAGTCGGTGAACTTGAGGTCGATGATGTCCAGGTTGGTGGTGCCGGGGGACACGTCGGGGTCGGTCTGGGTGATGACCATCCTCTCCGAGCTCCTCAGGGGCCGCCCGTTCTTGAACCAGCTGAAGGTGAGCTCCTCGGGCGGGATGGCCTCCACCTGGCACGAGATCTTCACCTCCCGCCCGATCTGGATGTTGTCGTCCTTGTGGTAGGGGTCGGGGGTGATCCAAAAGCGTCCTTTTTTTAAGGCTGAAAGGCAGAACAGAAGCAGCTCGCTGTAAAACAAGGAACAAACCCGGCTTTGCTTGATGCCCACCTGGGGTTTTAAAAGGGTGTGGAGCCATCGGGAAGGGTTTCAAACGAAAAGGGGGTCAATCAAAGTCCACATAAGGAATGATTTTTTTCACTGTGAGGGTGGAGAGGCCCTGGGGGTTTCTGAGCCAGAAAGAAAATTTATTCCCTTCAAAATTCACTCCATTTCCCAGTGTCCTTATCTGCACGTGCCTTCATTCCACGTGTTTCATTCCATGGGTGCTGAAGCAGCTCCATGATTTTTTTTCTCCTGGGTGTTTTCCTATTTCTGAGGCTGCTGACCCATCGCACCTGACTGCAAACCAAGGGAGGTGGGGAGGACTGGGGACAGCAGGGATAAGATACAGGGAATGGCTTCCCACTGCCAGAGGGCAGGGATGGATGGGATATTGGGAAGGAATTGCTGGCTGGGAGGGTGGGCAGGCCCTGGCACAGGTTGGGCAGAGAAGCTGTGGCTGCCCCTGGATCCCTGGGAAGTGTCCCAGGCCAGGTTGGAGCACCCTGGGCTGGTGGAAGGTGTCCCTGCCCATGGCAGGGGTGGCACTGGATGGGCTTTAAGGTCCTCCCAACCCAAACCATCCTGGGGTTCTGTGATGTTTGGGAAGTCTCTGAAGCTGCCAAGGCACCATTTAACACATGGTTAATTTTTTGCAGGATCCAAAGCCTGAGTCCAATCCCATCCCAGAGTACACAGAGCCCGAGCTCTTTGTCACTTCCAAAATGAAAAACAGGAAACACAGCACCTAAATTAGGCTGAGCTGCTGACAAGTGAGGAGTAACCAAAATAATTCATGAGCCTTCCGTGTTTGTGATCCATCTCTGGAGGTGTTTACAAGCCCTTCCTCCCCCCCCTGTCCAACCAGAGCACGAAGAGAGGAGAGAATAGAGATATCATCCCAACATCACCGACACGACCAGCGGTGTCACCTCCAATCCATCTGGAAGCAAACACAGCCTTGTGCCAGCTGGTGGAAGGAAAGGAGGGAAAAACAAGCCTGAGGCTGCAGCCTGGCCTGGTTTGTACCTGCTGCTCCTGCCCTGGGGCAGCCCTGCAGGGCTCCAGCCATCCCCAGCCTGGGGACAGCTGTCCCACCCTGGGGAGTGGCTGCTGGCATTCAACTCTGTCCCTTCAGTGGCTCCTGGAACAAACCAGCCCTGTGGAGCCTGCCAAGGCCAGGCTGAAGGAGCCCTTTCCCAGCCTGGAAAAGAATTAACCTGTGGAGTGTTTGAGTAAAGGATCCATTTCACGGAATTCCAGAATGGGTTGGGTTGGAAAGGACATTAAAGCTCATCCCATTCCACCCCCTGCCATGGGCAGGGACACCTTCCACCAGCCCAGGGTGCTCCAGCCTGGCCTGGGACACTTCCAGGGATCCAGGGGTAGCCACAGCTCCCTCTGGGCAACCTGTGCCAGGGCCTGCCCACCCTCCCAGCCAGCAATTCCTTCCCAATATCCCACCTAAATCTCCCCTTTTCCACCTTGAAGCCATTCCCTGTGTCCTGTCCCTCCATCCCTTGTCCCCAGTCCCTCTCCAGCTCTCCTGGAGCCCCTTTAGGCCCTGGAAGGGGCTGCAGATCCCATATTTTGGATAACAAGTCCTTTCCCCTTGCTGGGTACTCAGAGTGATGGCAAAGGGTGGCTGAGCCACCAAACACACCAAGAAATCACAGGGCATTTGTTCCTCACACCTCCAAAAGTGGTGAAAATACTCATTCAGCCCCAATTTTGTCACTTCAGTGGCTCCCTGGACAAACCAACCCTTTGGAGCCTGCAAAGGCCATGTTGAACTTGCCCTTTCCCAACTCAGAAAAGAATTAACATTTATTTAATAATTAGTTGGTCTTTCCCCATGTGGGAAAACAAGCCTAAAATTGAGCTGCATCCGAACACAGGGTGGGAGAAATTTCTTCCATTCAGGAAGGAAACATTTTTTTAATAGAGGATGGAAAATTTGTTATATTTTTGTATTTTTTACGTAGCTATTTATATATTTATACATATCAGGTACAGCACAGAAGGCATCAGGATGCTGCTAATTAATTTTAACCACACAGTCAAGAATCTGAGGGGCTGATTTTATTAATTTCTTTTATTCTTTCCTTTGTTTCAATGACTTTAATCAAGATTAGGCTTTTGCTGCAAAATGAACTTGTCTCTCTCTCCTTCCCTTGGGAAAACAACAGTCCCTTCCAGGCAAACAATTCTTTGATTCCAGAGGCTGAACCAGTTGGAAAGTGCCACAAAAAGAAACTCTGAGACAGGAGCTGAGCTTTTTGTTTGTTTGTTTGTTTGAAAATCCCAGAACAAGCAGCTCTTACACACACAGAACCCAGTCAATATATTATGTAAATCATTTTCAGGCAGGAGAAAAGAATTAAAAAAGAACTGGATGGGCACGACAAACAGAACGTTTCAAACAGCCCGAATTAGCTGCTAATAACCTCAATAAACTATTTTTATTTGTGATTTTTCAGCAGTTCCTCATGCCTGGAACCGAACAAAGTCTGATAGGAGGGTCGTGTTAACTTTGCTCTGTGCTTTGTTGTTAAAATAACACCTGCAAGGGAAGATGAAGGTGCAGAACCTCAAAACTGGGGCTTTAAACCCCTTTTTCATTGGCCAGGAAGGGCTCCAAGCTCTGGCTCCCACCTCTTGGGAACACCTGAGCTGAGCCTCCAGCTGATGGAAAAGGGATTTTTTATATCCCAGGTCTGCACCCATCAATCCCCATGAAACAGTGGCTTGGATGATCCTCATCTGAAGGTTCTTGGACCACCAGGCACCACCCTCTCTATTGTCAGGTGAATTGAACCAGGCCATGGATCCCAAATCTGGCTTTTCCCTTTATTCCCAGTTCCATTGGAGGCCTCACTGAAAGGTTTCCATGGGGTCAGACCAGAGGCTGAGGGATTTTTTACATGGGCAGAGAGGGAAAGGACAAAGAGGGAGGGTTTGAAACTAAAATAGGGGAGATTTAGATTGGAAATTAGGAATAAACTCTTCCCTGTGGGGGTGGTGAGACAGAGCTGCCCAGAGAACCCATCCCTGGCAGTGTCCCAGGCCAGGCTGGACGGGGCTTGGAGTAACCTGGGCTGGTGGGAGGTGTCCCTGCCCATGGCACGGGGTGGATTAGATGGGTTTTAAGGTCCCTTCCAACCCAAACCATCCTGGGATTGACCAGCCAGGCGTGGGTGATGGTGCTGCAGAGCTGCCAAAGCCAGAGCTGCTTCCCAGCAGAGATTTCAGACCATCAGCAGCACATGGGGCTCCAAAAGAGCAGCAAATATGTTCTGGAACTGCCCTCTGAGGCTCAGCAGAGTGCCAGCCTTCCTCCAAAGAGGCCCCAAAGAGCTGTGATGTGATCAAACAACCAGAGATGAAACAAACACTTCTCATCCTCGACCCCCCTCACAAAGAGTCGCTGCCCTCCCTCATTAATTACATTTTTCAAAGCGACAAAAATGCATTTCAGCATCTCAGCCGAGCTCTGTTTGCATTCAGCAGGTTCAGCTTTATCTTCCCACCCCTCTCTGATCCACTCCAAGTTCTCCTGTAATGCCTGGTCCTGGTTTGGGGGGGGTTCCACAACCAATACATGATCTGTATTAAATCATGATTATCTCAGCTCTGAGAGAGAAGGAAAAATTCCATTGCTTGGTTCACTGTGAAGACACACCAAAAAGTGTATAGTAGTACATAAAGTGATGTTGTGCTGCAGGAATTCTGAGTTATCTATGTTCCTGTGAAAATAATCCATTTCCAACCTCAAAAAGCAAAATAGAAGACATGTTTTAAATCATGTCACTGCTTTTGCAGCAGCGTTTCTGTGCCTGAATTTTGCTGTAGCACAATGATAGCTGTAATTAATTGCAAAGCAACTGCAAAGTTGGGCTCATCTTCTCTGTTAAGAGGAAATAAATCTGTGTTTTGAGTTGTGGGATCAGAGACCCCTCCCCAGAGGAGGAGAGAGGTTGTGGAAAACCCATCCCTGGGAGTGTCCAAGGCCAGGTTGGAGCAACCTGGGATAGTGGAAGGTTGGAATTAAACGGTCTTTAAGGTCCTTTCCAACCCAAACGTCCCATGATTCTTGTGCTGGTGGATGAAATCAAGGAATCTGCTCCACTAACACCTTGGGAACAGCAGTTCAGTCCATCCTGCCTGGTTTAACTCCTGAAAGCCCAGCCTAAGGAATCTCTGAACCGAACAAAACCCACTCCCTCTGCAGAAGGACTCCTGGAAACCCCTCTCTGCTCCTTCCTCCCTCAGTAACATCTCAACCCCCATCAAATCAATGAAACCAAAATAAAAAATTCCCACCACAAGCTCCAAAGAGACACAAAGCCTCTGTTTATTTTGGCAGCGAAGCCGAGTTGTCTTCGCTGATCTCCAGGATATCACCCCAGGCTGTGCCATCAACCAGCAAAGCTGAGCGAGACAATTTAGCAAGAGCCCAAAATATCTTTGGCACTGGTGATTTATCCCAGTGTGGTCCCTAAACTTTGTTGTGTGGCATTAAAATCCGTTCTGGCGTTGTTTTGTGTGGAAAGAACAGCGGAAACTCTTCATTCGCTCTTGCCAAAAAAACCTCTAATTTGCTTTTGCAGACCAAGAGAACGTTTGGAAGGAAAAGAAGAGATGGGAAATTGGAGTCTTCTGGCTTAATTGTACAAGAGAAGAGAAAAAAAAAAAAAAAACAGAGTAGCAAAACCCAAAACCACTCCCGTTCACACAGCAATTCCTTCCCAATATCCCATCCATCCCTGCCCTCTGGCAGTGGAAGCCATTCCCTGTGTCCTGTCCCTCCATGCCTTGTCCCCAGTCCCTCTCCAGCTCTCCTGGAGCCCCTTTAGGCCCTGCCAGGGGCTCTCAGGTCTCCCTGGAGCCTTCTCTTCTCCAGGGGAACCGCCCCTGGATTCAACACTGCTCAAGAGAACAG